AGGACTTTGCTCTCTGACGCCTGGCAGAGCCTGGTGGGGAAAGTAAAATGAGAGGATGGGCCAGTTGTGGCAGGCAGAACGTCGACCCCATGGACCTCCACACCTTCACTGAGGGCCCACTCACGCTTTTTCAAAGCCGCTTCTCTTTCTCCAGTTGCTTAGACAAGCACCTCTACCTCAATCCGAAGGCGCAAACTGTAACTCTCCTCCTCCTTACCAGGAGGGGCCTTGGTCTGGCATGGCAGCTTTTCTTCCTACAGGGGCAGGACAGTCACTTCATTACCCCAAAGCACCTTGGGTTGCCTCTGCTCCCTAAACCACCCCTTTCTAGAGGGCACGCAGAACCAGAGTACAGGAAGATTCTTGGCCTCATAAGGTCTGGAGGCTTTTGGGACTCCAATACTCAATGACTCTGCCTAACCACAGGGATCGCAAATAGGGAAGATAGAACCTACAGAGGACATTACATATAACCAGCTTCTTCACTGCGGGCAGAACTCTTCAGAAGACAAAATTTTCGTCTTGGAAGACCTCTGCAACAGAGCCTGGCTCAGGGGAGGGCCTGGGGTTGGGGTGGAGCGGGATGCTTGCCAGGACCGTGACCAAAAAGATAACAGGATGAAGCGCAGACACATAGGATAGAGACTGGGCACTGGAAAATCACAGTTCCACAGGTAAACTGAGACTCAGTTCTAAGTACTGCCCTCAAGGAACAACCAGTGTCATAGAGAGACAGCCCATGGCCACACTTCTAACATGGTGGTGTGCTGTGATGGGGATGCCAGGGGGCTGTGGTGCCCAGAGGAGGTCCTGACCCAGCCGGGGAAGGGTCAGAATTGCTTCTGGAGAAGAGGATATTAGACCTGGGATCTGACTGGTAAATAGAATGGGCCCAGAAGAAGAGAGGTAGAGAGAAAAGCATCCAAAAGCCAAGGCTACCTGCCAAGAGAAAATCTGGATACCTTCAGGGAATCAAGGTAATTCACACAGCCGGGCGCGGTGAGCTCAGCCGTAATCCCTAAGCTTCCATGGGAGGTCCCAGAGAGCTAGGATTACAGGCGTGAGCCACTGGGCCCAGCCTGTGCTGCATTTTTGTTTAGCATAAGGGATAATAAGTTTAAATGACTATATTATTATAACAAGGAAAAGATGTTATCAGTGACTTGGAAGGGAAGCTGAAAGTTCAGATAAGCTACTTAGGCTGCTCCTAAAGCTCCCTAGGGGCTTCGTCTAGGGGTAGATGTTGTGGCCTGACAAACTTGGCTGTCCCTGTGGGTCTCTAAGTGGTAGCCCTTGTTTTGTCTTGTTTCTTTCATTTGTTCTTACGGGATCTCTTTTTTTATTTCTTTGTGTGTGTGTGTGTGTGTGTGTGTGTGGTTTTCAGTGGTGGGCAAGGCCATCTCTGTTGACATCTCTTAAAGGGCCTCGAGCAGTACAACCAAATAGAACTTGTAGTGATGGAAATGTTCTACATCTGCACTGTTCAATAAGACAGCACTTGAAATATGGCTCATGTGGCTGAAGACTTGCTTTATAAATTTTAGTTAAAATTTAAATCTAATTGCCATATGTGACTAGTGGCTACAGTATTGAACAGCATGAGCCTAGAGCAGTGATCCCCAACCTTTTGGGCACCACGGACCAGTTTCATGGAAGACAATTTTTCTACCCAATGGGGGTGGGGGCTGGGAGAATGATTTGGGGGATGATTCAAGCACATCACATTTATTGTGCAGTCAAACCTCTCTGCTAATGATAATCTGTATTTGTAGCCGCTCCCCAGTGCTAGCATGACTGCCTCAGCTCCTCCTCAGATCATCAGGCATTAGATTCTCATAAGGAGTGCACAACCTAGATCCCTCGCATGCGCAGTTTACAGTAGGGTTTGTGCTCCTATGAGAATCTAATATCCCCCCAGTCCCTCGCCGCCAAGCTGACAGGAAGCAGAGCTTATATAGTGATGTGAGCGATGGGGAGCGACTGTAAATACAGATGAAGCTTCACTAGCTCACCCACCACTCACCTCCTGCTATGCAGCTTGGTTCCTAACAGGCCACGGACTGGTACTGTTCTGCAGCCTGGGGATGGACCAGGGCTTAGGGACCGCAGGCCTAGAGGTGCTGTGTAGGTCGTGTACCTGGGAACAGAGCCCTCTCAGAACATTGTCTGCCAAATGAGAATGTTCACCTGAATCACCCTGAACAAAGTTGTACATTCCTCTGGGGCAGTGATCCCTGAGCCTTCCCCATGAACTGTGTTCCCTCCCTTGGGTCTTTTATAAGGTGCCGCTGATGTCCCTTGCTATTTAACGCTCACCTCCACCATCTGGAACAGACTGCCCTCAGTGTTTGGGGCAAAACCCTGGAGGGCAGTAGGCTCCAGCAGCCAGTTCCCTGGGGATGGAGGTTAGGAGCAAGAGAGAACCCTGGCTCCAGGTCTGCACCTATATACTAGCATGGACATGAGGGATGGTCACCCTGGTTGGGGACCACTATCAACTCCTACTCTATGTGTCACAAGCACTTTGGGCTCCTGGCCAACCAGGTCTCAGTGAAGTTCAGGAAGACATTACATCACAAAAAGCTCTGTGATCCTGATTTAAAAAATCATTTTGCTCATGAATCTGTGATCTGGGCAGAATTCAATGGTGAAAGCTTATCTCTGCTTCACGCAATGTCAGCTAGGATGGATCAACTAGGGGTTAGAAGTTCCACTTCCAAGATGGTTCACTCATGTAACTTGCAAGTTGGTGTTGTCAGCTAAGAGCTCTGCTAAGGTTAAGGACCAAAGTTCTGGCTCCTTTTCATGGGCAGCTTGGGCTTTCTTATAACACAGTGGGTTAAAGAGAAAGCATCCAAACTGCTGTTCTCAACACACAGACAGGAAATGGAAATTGCTAATTTCTTTAGGCCTGGGACTGAGAACTAGCATAGTGTCATCTCTGCTGTACTCTATTAGTCAAGGAGTCACAGAGTCTAGATTCAAGGGGAGGGGACACAGACCCCCACCTTTCAATGGAAGTAGTGTCAAAGAATTTGGGCTGCACTTTGAAAGCAAATCCTTATGACAGATAACACGTCACTCCCTTAGAGGTTCTTCTCAGACAAAACCAGACTGGAACTTATTCTGATGGAGAGAGTCAGACAATAATCAAATAAACACACAAATAAGGCTCAGATTGTGTCACCATTCAAATAAATAGCATTATAGCTATGACAGATGGTAAGAAAGAGAAGAATGAGAGTAATTTAAAGGGATATTTAGCCCAGTGTGGGCTAAGCTTCTGTGAAAGGGAGGGCTTCTGTGAGTACCATTTGAGCTGAAGCCTATTAAGATAAGTGGTGGGCACTTAGCAAAGAGGGTAGGGGCAGGAGTGGGAAAGGGTTCTAGGAAGAGGGAGCAGCATAAAAAGAGCCCTGGGGAAAAAGGAGTTGGCAAAGAGTAGTAACGAAAAGGCTGGTATGGCAGAGACGATGTATATGGCAAGAGGCGGCCTGGGCTGCCAGGTAGAGGCCTGGGGCTTGGTAGAGCCTTGCTAAGTATGGTAGAGCATGCTAAGGACTTTGGTGATTTTTATTCTGTGGCCAAAAGGAAGCTACTGAAATATTTTAAGCAAGAGGGTAACATGACCCAGTTTATGCTTTGAAAAAATCTCTTTCATTGCAGTGAGGTGCATAGATCAGAGGTGGCCTTGTGTGGATAAACAGAAACTACTTATACTTAGGAGGCTACTGCAGTGAGAGTAGATGGTAGTTTGGGAGTCAGATGGTGTCAAAGGAGATGAGAGTAAGTTTAGGATGTTTTGGAGGTAAAATTGATAGGATTTAATGATAGAGGGGATATGGGGAAAAGGGCAACAAGATGTTTTGGTTGTGTATTGCTACAAACACCCCCAACATGTAATGGCTTAAAACAGCAACCATTTTATCATTTGTTCACAACTGTGCAGTCTGAGCAGGACTTGGGGCAGCTCACTTCTGCTCTGTCCATCAGCTGGGGTGGCACAAATGGCTCAACTCGGATTTTATTTTATTTTATTTTTTAGTAGAGATGGAGTCTCGCTCTTGCTCAGGTTGGTCTTGAACTCCTGAGCTCAAACGATCCACCCACCTCAGGCTCCCAGAGTGTTAGGATTACAGGCGTGAGCCACCATGTGCCGCCTCAACTTGGATTTTATATTTGGGTCCTCAGTTCTTGCTGTCAGCTTGGTGGCTTGGTGCTCGTCTACATGGCTTCTCCATTTGGTTGGTGTAGTGGTCTTGGGACAGCTGGACTTACACGGTGGCTGGCTTCCCCCCAAGGGCAAAAACAGATGCTATCAGTTTTGCCACGTTCTATTGGTTAAAGAAGATCAAAGGCCAGCCCTGATTGGAAAGGGACTATACGAGACCGTGAATGTTAGGTATGGTTAGTTGGGAGACACCAAATTAAGTCTACCACACAAAAGCCTCCTGGGTTCCTGACTCTTGCCCTGGGATGGGTGGTGGTGCTGTTCATGGGAATGGGAGCATCTGGAAGGGTGTTGCTGCCATGCTCCTCCATTAAAAAAAATCACTCATCTCTGCTGGAATGGTGATTATATTTTCAAGTCTCTCTTCCTCAGAATAGTTTTCATTGACCCCTCAAACTGGGATAAATCCTTTACTATAGATTTCCACAGTCCCCGTGGTCTCCGTTTTGGTAGTCGTCACCAGGGAGCATGCCTGCAGCCTGGCCTCACCACTAGATGAGCTGCAGGAGCCTAGGTGCCAGGTGTCCCTTGTTCCCTGAGCCCATTCTAAAAGATCAGCCCGCCTGGCACATATGAAGTTCTCAATCTTTGCTGAATTTAAACACTTTTTTTCAAATGAAAGATATCATGACCAGTTGGGATCATGTAAGTAACAAGTACTGTATTTTTAAACTAAGACTTTCCTAAATATGGGGCACTGGGAAGAAAGCCAGCAAAGAACGGGGATAACACCTGATTTTCCGATGCTAAGTGTAGTTTTCATCTATAGATTGGCTGTGACATGCTGAAGCTGCTGTTATCTGATAGAAAATACGGAACTGATGATGCCGCCAGTGCTGTCTGCTGTTCTAAACGCAAATAACTGCACCGATGGGTAAGAGAAACTGGGGCAGAGGTCAACAGCTTCTCTGGTCTCAAGTGGCTCCAAGGGAGTCAAGCAGTGTGCAGTGCCCAAAGATGCCCTGGGCAAGGTAAAAGAACAAAGGGAAAATATAAAGGCATTCTTTTTATGTAAAATCATTTAATGTTTGTCTTTGTTAAAATACACTCAATCCGGATGCAGTGGATTAGGTGACCAGATTTTTTGAGGATTCATACCCCACCAGGAGTTGATTCCATCTGTGTCGTCCCGGCTCTGGTCACAGAACATTCACATCTTTAATTCCAAAGACTAAGTGTGATGCAAATGATGTAATCAATATCTCACACACGGGTATATACTTACTTGGTGGTCACTGCACAAGGTAACAACAAAGCAGGCTCCAAAAATAAGATGTTTCATAACTTGACCCTTTCCAAAAATAAATATATCTGGACACTAGGCTTACACCTTAAATGAGTCCAAAATAAATATAAATTAAGCGCTAGCTTCTGTGAGGAGCAGTGCATGCAGAGACAATGAACTTGCATATGTAGCCAGTTGTGACAGAAAGCTGCTGGAATCCCAACAGTGGCTCCTCACAAAGCCAGTCCTGAGTATGAGGATGACAATGAGAATACACACAGCTTGACCAGGCTGCTGGATTCCAGGTTCCAGTGGGGTGTGGAGTTCACTGTAATTTCGAACAATTTCCAGCAGAAAGCACAGCAATGGCGCTTTCTTATTGGTCACTTCCTCCAAGATGGAAGGCCTGGAGCTGATCAAGGAAGCTTACAAGTTTTCTGGCTGGCAAAGATGAGCCCCCGAGTTGCTAATCTGGGGACATGGATTCCTTCAAGCTGCCGTGTTTTCTCCCCTCCTCACTGCTGGGCACGCAGTGCAGAGAGAGCACCTCCATGTGAACGAGAGTTTCGGTTCTGCTGGAGCTGCAAGCTCTATTTCTGAGCCCCACTCCTATCACACACATCCTATCACTACATCCAGTGGGCAGTAATGTCCCAAGGAACAGTCTAGAGCTGTGTACCAAGTTCTGACAGCAAGAATAAGCCTTACCTAAAGAGTTTATATATGATCAGGAAATCTTCCAAAGGATGTAGGCAAGAGGAAAAAGCTATTTACCACCATGCAGACAACTCATCTAAAATAGAACCCAGGAAATCGTAGTTTAACAATATTCTGAACAGTACCAAATAGATTAAACTATCCTTCAATCAAACTTAAATATGGTTTCCTTGAGAAAAACCAGATGTGAGTGTTGTTTATTGGTAATAAATCAAACAGTGCCATCAATGGTATAAAAATTAGACAATCGATGTGACATTTAATGGAGTTAGTTACTATTACCTCTATTTAGTATTATCACAGATAACTCATCACTGCCATAAAATCCATAAAATGTGTGACTAGCACAGGGTCTTTCAACCTGCCAAGTCAGTTTCATTATGGCCCATTTCCTAGCAGAGGCTAGGGGTGGGGAGGGGAGAGCTTTGGTTTTTGTATATAGAGGAAAACAACTTTCCATCAGCCCATTGGCCCATAGGCATATCCCTTAGTCTCTTGGAGCAGGTCAAGGAGGCCCTTCAAAACCAGGATAGGCCTTAGCTGGGTAGCGAAACCTGACTATTCTAGAAAAGTTCCCCCTCCCTACAGCTGAGCAATTGCTGCTACCAGCCACCAAAGCCCCCATTCCTTATCTGTATACCCATCTTCTGAATGGAATACCCACATGTTCAACTATACTAGACGCTGCTGTCTATCATGGCTGTGTATCTGAATGGAGAAACCTTACTTTGGAAACCAGTTTTAATGCAGACTCTCCTTCCAAAAGAAACTTTTCTTCCTATGTGAAGAAAACATGGGGTGTAGACTAGACTCACCTACTGATCCTTTCAAGTTCAGAGACCCATGATAATCTGGGCAGCTCAATCCTGGTAGCTCACCTCCATAGAAAGGCCTAGAACCACACAGCCCAGGCAATGGCTTAGCTCTTCATGTCACCAGTGGGAAGGGCTACCTGCCTTTAAGGGACCTCTTATTTTGTGTTCAGAATTTGTGTAGAAAGGGTACTGCTTCCTAAAGACCAGTAGGGAAGTTGTCCTGAATGGATACAGGACTGCCATGGAAAGAATTCAGGGACTGGGGGGTGGGGACTAGGGGGACAGAGGCATCCTTGGGAAAGATTCCTTGGGAAAGATTCTGCCTTGCCAATCCAGCTAGAATCACCTGAGAAATGAGGATGATCTCTCACACTTTGTACTTGCTAATCAGCCTCCCATCTAGTTCTGCTAGTATCAGCTATACGACCCAGGTCCACCATTAATCCTCTCTGGGTCAGTGTTTGCTCTCACTCAGATAAACAGAGATAATGCATCTACTTCACAGAGTTATGAGGAGGCTTAAGTAAGAAAATAAATGTGAGAGCCCATGCCTTATTGTAGGCACTCAACAAATGTTAAATGAAAGAAAAAGCATCTCATATCACAAACTATAGGGCACTGGGTTAAACAAAGTGACTGCTGGGGACAATGCTAGACCCCTGCAGCCACAGAGAGAGGGTCTATCCTCTGTACCTCTAGGCCTGAGCAGACAACTTGCATGGCTGGCAGTGCCTCCTCCCGGGTCTGACTCTGTACCTGTGGGGGTGTAGGAACTTCACTCAAGTGTGATGATGCCAAACGATGATTCCAAGAGGAAATGACAAAAGAACATTCTCTGGGTTCTATGATGGCCTGAGGAGCCCGCACTGAGGAGCGGAGACTCAGTCTTGAGTTTTACCTTCACCCCTGGCCCCTGCGTCCCATTGCTGAGTTATCCACTGAACTGCTTCAAAGCTTGATAGTTTTTAATTTCTGGACCCTCTAAAGGAGAGAGGGTTAAGGAAATGATAGAATCTCAAATCAGGCAGTTTGCTAATGCTACTTACTGAACAGAGATTGGGATAATAGAAAACTATTGACTACAATAGTTTAACTTTCTCCATATTCCTCTTAGAAAATGGAAAGTTGAATAGGAACGTGTTCCAAAGGCTGAATCCCAAGGGAGATGATGACTCTACGAGGGGAAAGGTATAATTCTTGGCAGACATTGTAAATAACTAATATTAAGCTGCTTTGGCTAAGCCTAGGAATGCCTGGGTATTAAGACTTCACTGACGAAGGGAAGAAGGAAGAAGACATGAATCTGCTCTGGGGTGCCCTGAACTACATTCATAGAGGAAGAGTAGGTATGAAACAGAGAGCTGAATCAAATGCTTTGCCATTAATTTAACTTAGAAGAACTATTCCTGGCCCCTGGATCCAATCCCCAGGCAGAAGTCTGTGATGACCAGTCTGGCTCCATGCTCACACTCCTCAACTCTGCCCAACAAAGTTAGCAAATTGTAAAATGTCCATCATTTCCTAATTTTGTATTATAAAATGGAATTAGGAACATAAATAATAACAAGTAGCAAAATCCCAACCGTGTGTCGGACTATTGTCCTCTCAGCCACCTCTGCGTAGGCCAGTGAGTTTGGAAAGTTTTTCACAGTTTTCAAGTTTCAGCGACTCTGCTTTCTGTTTCAATCGTTCATCTCTGTATAATCCTGCCAAATTTGTCAACTCTGACTCTGAAAGATAAAAGAGGTAACCAATTCATCAAGAGAGCTAGAGCTCCTTTGTTTCATTTCAATATTTCTGGAATCAAAGCTCCTTTTACTTTATTCAATGCTTTATCTTTCAATTAAAGTTAAAAAACATTTACTCATGTATTCAAGAAACAGGCACTGGACCAGGTGCTGAGGATTAAAGGACATCTGTGATCCTGCAGTCCTACAGTATCTGTGCTCCTTATAAAAGCACCAGTCTTAGTCCTTATCAATAAAACATTTGGCACCAGACTTAGGAAACCTGCACGTGTGCAGTAAGAGGAGCCTTCTTCATAGCCTTCCTACCAATGGTATTCGATGGCAGTTGGGAGAGAATGGAGTCCAGTCGCCTGTTTCTGTCATCTGAAACAGACAGCTGCTTCAATCTTTCCCCCAAGTTACTGCATCGAAACTCAAAGGCGCTGCCGCACAGCCTGCCTCTGGTGAGGATGCTTGTACACGAGGCCAGCCTGCGGCCCGCTTCCTTCATTCCCTTCCCACATGTGGTCCTCAACTCAAAGACCAAAGGCAGCTGGGCTCTTTTAAAAGTGAAATCATCTGGATCCAGTGACCTTTGTCTCCTTGACTAAATGAATTTCATTTTCTCTTCATGGCAGAGAAGGTCATGTTATTTTTAACCAGAATATAATCTCTGCTGTGTTTCCTGACTCAACAGCGGTTTGGCTGTCTCTATTTTTATTCTTTTGTGATGTTTCAGAGACATTCTGAAGGAGGAATGCCTGAAAAGCACCTTCAGAGACGTGCTGCATATTAACAGGATGGCATGTTTGGACAGAGTGTGGCTTCTGAAAGCCTCTGACAGCAGGCAGCTACTCAACATTTAAAGGACCATACTTGTGAAAATGCTATTTTAATCATTTTAAAATATGCCTATCCACCCTTAATCATCTTGCTGACAGATTTTGTTTTTTGTGGTAGAACAAGAGGTACCTGTCTGATTAATCAGCAAACCGCCTAGAAACAGGAATTAATATTTAGCTAGGGGAACAATGGCATTGCTTTCTGAATACATTTCTACCAACACAAAACACTGGCATTTCTGCTCACAATGATTCTATTTACACTAAGTAAGGCCTAAAGTGCAGATTAAGTGTAGGACTCCAGGGTGAGGGATGGATATGCATGAAAACCCTCCCTTTACAATGGGGGCTGCAGAGCCTGGGCTCTAGCCCAGCAGTTGCTTGGCAAGCAGTGGGTCTCCCAGGCTCCAGAACAATGTGCTCTACCCTCCTTGGTGAGGTTGCCTGCGACCCTGGCCAGCCAGGGCTTGCCTTGGCACAGCCATCCTCGCAGGTGATGGGGCTTCATGGAGGGTCACGCGCACACCTAAGTGAAAGCTCTCTGCTCTTGCATCCTGCCCAGAGCTCGGCACTAACTTCCCATCTTGGGCTTCGCTAGCATGTGGGATACCTGTTCAAGAGGCCTCTTTGAAATCAGTCTATGCCTTCAGTCCTCTGGAGCCACAGAACAGATTCTGTCATTTTGCTTTTCCTTGAAATTATTTCTTTATATTTTTTGTTTATTAAACTTTTCTAAATGCCTCATTCCCTGAAATCTCCAGAAAACATTAAGGGCTAGTGATTCTTAATATTTTCTATTAAT